GGGAGCTCCTGGGCTGCAGCTGCCAACATAGAGGACATTTGCTGGAGAGCAGCCATGGCAAAACTGTGAGGGTGGCAGTTTCTGTCCCCTTCTCTGGCCCCTGGCCACACAGATGAGTGTGATTGTTGGTGATATCCTTACCTGTGGTTTCCTGCTCTTTCTGCTGCTCTCTGAAGTCTGTGCAGAAACGTGTTGTGGCTCCCACCTTCTATGTTAAGGGGTGTCACCATCAGCAACTGCTTTTGCTCTCTGCCTTGCCAGGTACTCCCAGGGGAGTGGCACAAAGCTGGCAGCTCAGGGCACTGCAGAGGTGTTGGTTCCCTGATGAAAGTGGAGCATTAAAGGCTTAGCTTTATTTAGAAAAGGTGACTTTGCAGTAGGCTGTCACCTCAGGAGAAAGCTGATCTCTGTCCCAGCTGAGACTGAGGATGCTGTGTAGGGGCTGGTGCACATTTCAGGGGACTTGAAAGACAGAAGCTAATCAGGTCAGGTGAAATACTGAACCCTGGGTGAGCTCGTCCTGCTGGGAGCTTTGATGGTGACTTCTCAGTAAGTCTGAGCTAAAATGTGTCTACAACCTGGTTTTGAGGAGAGCAAGGTCCCCTGCAGGGGGCCAGGAGCTCAGGTAAGCCCAGAGGTGAGACTCCAGCCTGGTGACACAGGTGGTTGAATTCTCCGGAGGAAAGTGGTTTTAATCTTGCTTGTTTTTCAAACACCTTTTTTTCTCAGTGGGAAGGGAACATTCTCTTTCAGCTCCTGTATTTTGGCACTTCGTTCTTGGCCACGTTTTCTCTGTGCACCTCCCAGCTCTTCCTGGCCTCTGCCTGAGGGACTGCTTGACTTCCTTACCCTTCTCTCGCTGCTGCTACGCATCAGACTGCCCTGTGCTTCACTCAGCCTGGTTTTGTGATCCCTATGATGGTTCTTTCATATCCTGGCACATCCACTGGGCCACAGTTTGAAGAACTTACCCTTTGGAGGGGGAATTTACTTGCTTTACCCAGCAGTGGTATCACCTGCCTCAGCCTTCCAGCCTGGCAGTTGCCCACACTCTGCCTAAATCCACACCCAGAGGAGGCTGTTGGTGTCCCTTGAGTTCAGAAGCTGCCTCAGATTGTTTCCCTTGTCCAGACCATTCCCATTCCCACCTTGGCACCAGGGACCATCCTCAGGCAGTGCTGCCCCGAGGTGGGACACTCAGTTGGCAGGGAGGGGGCAGGACACAGCTGAGCCCCATCAGCCCTCCACATAGAGCATCTGTGGGTGGTTCTGCTGCCCCTCTGCCTTTCTCCCCAGTGTCTCCAGTCCCCTCCTTGCTCTGCCAGGCAAACGATTTGGACACAGAACCCACAGCTCTCCAGACTGGGTGTCCTGTGGGAATCTGGGGTGCTCTGTGCTCTGGCAAAGTCCCTGTGCCAGCACCTTTGCTGCCAGGGAAAGTTTTCCTCCTTGTCTCCAAAGGCAGTTGCTGTTCTTCCTATGAACCAGTGAATGGCCTCGTTTTTCAGATCTTTTGCTCCCCAGTTTTCTCTTTCTTTTCTTCAATTTTGATCTTTTTTTTTCCTTCTGGTTGACATTTATTGGATCTTGGGGTGTTTTTTTTTGTTGCTGATGCGTTGTTTTGCACCTCACCGCCCCGGGCGGTTTCTTCACCTGTAGAGAGAGAAAGGCAAGGAAGACAAGACCCATCCCCAGGCTGCTCAGAGCCCGAGCCCAGACCCTGCTGGGCTCCAGTCCCTGGTGCTGGAGCCACCCACCCCCCTGGAGAACCAGGACCCAGCCTTTCACTGGGCTGGGGAGGGCACCAGTAAGTAGCAAACCCTGTCTGCTTCACCTCCCCTCCCTGGCCCTTGCTGGGAGAGAGGGAGCAGCACTTCGGGCTCAGCTGAGCTGTGGGGCATCCTCACAACCTGCGTAAGGGTCCCACCCCCTCCCTAAATCTCTGCTAGGGGAGTGGGAGCAGCCCAGGTTGTGCTGGGACTCACCACCACTCCTGGGAGCTTGGGAAGGATCTGGCAGCATCCCGGGATGCTCCAGTCCCGCCACCCCTCCTGGATGTGACGTTCCTGATGCCTGGGAGCGCTGGGTGTGTGTGTATGGGGCTGACAACAAACTGAGCTTTCCTCCGAGCTGCACCAGCAGCTTGGCAGGTAAAAATCTTCTCCAGGTGTTGCCTTGCACCCTCACCCCTCCATCCCTGCCCCCGCAGATCGAGACCCACAAGCCG